TATCTATCAATCAGGATTGTTCTTTCTTTTAATATTGAATTTTCATTTTAGCTTATTTTATGATTGGTATAGTGCCTGACATGGAAGAGCTCTAGGTGCAAGGCATGGAAAATTAGAAAGCACCCCCACATTGTTCTCATAAAAATGGAGACACACACGGCATTCCATGAACCTTGAGCGGGTAATGTAGTGATGTTCCAGAGACATGGCGTGTAATAAAATAATAGTGGGCATGGCCTAGGGTGAGTTATAGGATCATGCGCAAAAACAACCGCACGCGCACTGTCTAAGCACCACAAACCTCAAAGGTGTGTTCTTCATCTCTGCCATAGAGCCATCATGTGTTCCCCTCGCTCACCATATTATATATGCATTTGGCCCAGTGAGCCACCACCCACGTTGTCAAATAAATTTTTGTCTTTCACTCCCTTGGATCTCCCATCATCTAACATTCTTAGAAGGACAGCTTCATTAAAAACCAGCATGTTCACTTCCAACCACAACTGACACATACATTATATCTTTTACTTGGACTCCACGTCAAAAAATAATTTCACTTCTTTTACTAAACCCAATTCCCCTCCACAAAATACTCCCTCATCTCAAAGTAATAAAGCATCAATATAAATATATATTCATATATTTATGAATATATTCGTAACATAAAATAAATTAAGAGCTTTGAATGAAAAAATTGAGAATATTGATTTGAGAAAAAATAAATAAATATTCTTAAAAAAATCTTATTGATTATTAGATATGACTATTCAATTTTGAGCCTTTCTTAACAAAATTTATGTTTTGTACCATGCTGAATTTCTATTAAATTTCTGTATAAGAAAAGGTATATTAAAAATATAATATAGATTAAACTATTTTTTAAATTATTATCCATTATGACATTTTGTTTATTTTTTGAAATTGGGTGTTACAAGTATATTTAATTAAGATCCATAAAATGATTTAAATACAGAAGGATTAAATATTTTTGAAGTCCCTTTAGCGAATGTTATCCTGTACAAACTGTTCACCAAAATTAAAATGCCTGGATATAGAGAACAGCTAAGTAGTAGCTCATCCCAATATGTCGCCAGACGGCAACATCTGCTGCTGCATGCTCTGCTTTACTGCCTCAATTGAGTGATGTATAAAAATACTTCAAGTTGCTATACATTTCCTGTAGACCATGCCAAATTGCAACCAAAATACTATATAATAAATTCAGACTAATGAATAATGGAGAAGCTTATTCTAGTCAAGAGATAGGGAACAAAATAATAATAATGATTTTATTCTTAAAATAGTCAATTGGACCAAGTAGTGACCAGTCGCTAATCATTTACAAATTTATAAGACATTCTCACATGAAAATCTTAACCACTGATAATGATCCGCAGCATTTTTAGTACGTACAGTACACCCAAAGCGTTTTTTTTTTTAAGTTAATTATTAGTCCACAAACAGCTAGAAAGTATAGTGTGCAGAATGTGACCATCGCATATTCTTCAATTCCCACAACGCCATTAATCAAGGTCAAATTTGAGTTCAAATTTACCATGACAAATACAATTTTCATTATAAATTAGCAAGGAACTGGATCTAATTCTTCATTCCAGGCATTCCTAAGATAGGAAAAAATAAATTAAGAGGCAGAATTAAGTATTTTACTCTCGTATCGTTACATTGTCGAAAAGAACAAACAGACACTTGTAATCTACGCACTTCTCACAGGAAGGAACTGTAGTCAATTATAGTAATAATACCAAAATTGTTTTGCACATTTTATAATTTTCTTATCTGTCCTTTTTGTTTCATTTATTAAGAGTGTCAGCTACATGCCATTATTTGTCTTTAACCTTGGTTCCCAAGGGAACTAGTGTGATGAGTTTCCATGCGGATTGCACATGCACCAATCAATTTGGACATTTCTATTATTGTGTTCGATCTGAGATTACAAGCTGTAGTATAACCATTAATTTGGCAGCAATTAAACCTATTTTAATGCAATACTACTTATGTTATCTATGACATTATACTAATGACTTGACAAAATACCCCCCTTATACAGCTAACTACGCTACTTTAAGTATGTGGTTCCACCTGTGATCCATGTCAGCCAATTTGGGTTCTTCTAGGACGCGTTGAATAATTATGCAGCCTAGGAGCTATTAAAACTAAAGAACATGTAATCATGAACATACAACCACACTAGCTAGTTGGACCGAAGAACAAGAGAAACATGCATGCTCAAGGCAACTTTGTGTTTAGTAATAGCAACTAGTAACGAGTATGGAATATGAATTTGCTTGTTGCCACTTGAAAATTCGTGGTTTCTAAGTTGCATTTATTTTAATAACGTATATATGAGTTATGTTGTAAAACTTGTTACTTCTTCATAATTTACCGAAATTCAAAGTACTGCTATCACAGTAACAAAAAACAATCATGATTCAAGAAAATTAAACAATGGTACTTTAGCATTACTGACCATTTCTACGCCTTTTCACATGACATATCAACTTATTGGCACTAGTTAGAATACTTTTCTTAAATGATTTACGTTATTTAGGCCTATCACGCTAACACAAAATAATGATGATGCAAGAAAATTTTTTATTTAGGTTTCCTTAAATGCATTTGAATGGTTTGGTGAGAGAAATTTATGATTGATAGAAGGAGAAAGAGATAAATGAGGAAATATAGAGAGGGTCGGGGGTCCAACCTATCTTGGTATGGTTTCCTAAAGAATTGACTAGTATTCATCAAAAATGGGAACTGAAAACCTAAGAGACAGGAACATTTGTACCTTAACATGCAAGGGACCCCTTATTATTGGTTTAGGAGCAGGGTTCTAGTATTATGTAGGAGGACCAACAGAGCATAGAGAAGTTGGCCCCCCACAAATCACAATGCGAAAGTACATGAAGTTGGGAGTTCTCGGGGGAGGGGCGTGGGTGAGGGGAAGATGAAAGCACCAAATTTTTCATTCTTGCTCTTGTACATTATGCAGAATTTATACACCTGTTTGCAGAAAATTCAGAAACAGAGCCCAAGAACTTGGCTCTAGTTATTAACCATCTGCGCTACCTATGCCTAGCTATCAAACACTCCCCAGTCCCCTCTGGTTCCCTCCCAGATGAAAGAAAACAATTTCAAGGACAACAAGTCAGTAACGTAAAAAAGGACAACGTGAACAAAAGCTCAGCTCATGCTAGCTTCGATTGTAGAACACCATACTTTGCCTTCCTTACACTCATTAATGCTGCTAAATTAATTTCTTTGAGTACAGTAGTACATCACATGAGGTTAATATTTTCTTACAAACGCTATTTAATGCTCCAACCTTTTATCTTTCTTCAAAGTCTAGTAATTCATTTGCGACTTCATTTACCCTCCTTGAATTAATGAGACCATTATTGAGTGTCATAGGGTAACTTGGAACATCTCGGATAGTCAGAACAAGAGGAATTTAAAGGTTATTCAGATGAGAATAACTTATAAAAAATAATCGATATTATTTATACCTACATGATACAATAAATACTTGATTCACACAACTTGTTTCTATAATTAATGGTCATGATTTTGATTTTCGATGCATCATATCAAATTAATACTTGATTCACACAACTTGTTTCTATAATTTACTTTTCAACTTAATCTTTTTTTTAACCTTAATTTATTTTTATATAAAAAATTTAAAAAGTTTTATGCCTTTAGTTTATTCTTATATAATACAATAAATGATTCATTTTTCACAATAAATACACCTATCATATTTTATCCTTCTTTTATTCACATGATTTTACCATTAATCGGTGGTATTTTATCTTTTATAGAATTTATATTTATATTTTATTTTATTTTAATCTAAATTTGACAATAATTAAAAATTTTCAAAATTTAAAATCACAAAATGGTTGTAAAAGATATATTAATGCATTAAAAAAAAACTAAATGCTGAATATATTGTTGTTGATGTTTACAAAAATACATATTTTTACCACTGTAGTCCAAATTGACAATCCATGAACCATATTCAGGTGATAATATCATAATACGGACCTCATACCACAACTGAAGTGACGTGGTTGTTGCCATTCTATATTCCTATTCCTAATGCCTGCAGTGCAACTCGACGGATGAGACTTCGAGAAGACATGCCCTTTCTATTACTTGTTTGATCGTATAAAAAAAAATTAATAATACGATTTGCTTGAACATCTTAAATGTAATTTAAGTTCTGTTATATAACACGTTGTATTTAATTTAATGCACGCGTATATTATTATGTTTTGCTGAGTATTATGTCATTAGTCAATTGAAATGAGGGGTCATAATGACACTAGTTATAAGAATCAATAACAGAAAGATCAAGAAAAAAGAATATAGATATTTTAAGAAATACATGTTATTCTTAAAAAATGTAAAATATTTCAGCATAAGAATATTTTTGTTATATTCCTAAATAACTTGAGACGCCTTCACACACATAAAAAAGATAACATTTTAAGAAAAATATTTGATAGATAGTCTAGATCTCTCTTTCACAAACAATGCAAGAGTTGGGAACTTAAGATTATTTTATTAGGATTCTCGACGCTTGTTACTAAAAAAACCAAGAGTTGGGTATTTAGCATTACTTTATTAGGATTCTCAACTCAATGCTAATAATTATAAATAAATAAATAAGAATATTCCTCAGTCCCAGGTAAAAAAAAAATGGAAGTCAAAACAAAGTGTCCAAGAATAATTTTTAGGTGAATTAATATAGAGAAATACAGGCAATTTTAAAATTAAAAAATTGAAATAATAGAGAATAATTAATGTGAATTTTATTTTGCGCAAATTACACAAATCCAAGTGTTATCCGAAAAGAAATATGGTGCGAGCGTCCTCTTGTGTGAAGGCTCACATAAATTAATTAATGATATAGAAAGTGGAGGCAATGAAGGAGCAAAGAGAATTTAGAATGTCTTGATCTTTAGATTTGGTGAATGTAAATACGGAAGGTATTTGTTTGGGTAACATAAATGCGTTGTTCTGAGTGGAGACAGAATGAATAAAATGAACATCGTCCTACAATTTGTTTGGGAGCAAGCCAAGACAAATTCACAGTCCATGGATCCCTTTCCTCTTCCTCATGCCTCTTTGTAACCAAAACGAAAACACACCAAGGAAAGGGAGGAGAGAGAGAGAGAGAAAGAAAAAGCGAATACTTGTCTTTTAGTTAATTCAACAGCAGTGGGGTTGGAGAGAATTTGGTCTCATTTCATCATGGTATACAAATAAATATAAATGTGTTGCTTGCCGTTGGAAACTTTCCTACGTGATTTGCTCATCATTTCATCCTCCACAGTCCACACCCATCATGTGACTAGCATACATACAATTGAAGCTGTTGGAGAACCCAAATAAATAAACTAGTAGGACTACTAATACCAAAACTTTGTCAACATTTGCTATACTATATATATATTTTTATTTTTACATTGCTGAGGCTGGAGAGGAAAATTGGGGAATCTTACACGTGTCAAAGGTAAACCTCCGACAGGCGACAGCAGAAACAAAGTGAGGCGCTGCATTTGCATTTTGTACATACTACATAGTGATAAAATTTCCGTCCCAATTAAAAATAAGTTTTTGTGGGGTAAAATAAAGAGATAGAAAAAGAAATGAAAAATGAGAGTAGGAAGTAGGAAGTAGGAAGTAGGAACCAGGAAGGAATAGTACCTGGAAGACCTACTCCATCAAGAAGCGTTTCACAATCTTCACGCTTGGTTCCAACACCTGTCTCTCCCATACATGGGAGCCTGACGTGAGGGCCTCCGTAGCGTCGATCCTCCGTAGGTCCCACCCGGCACGTCTCAACCGCTCGATCTTCCCAATCTGACGCTGGGCCAACTGACACGTGTTATCTTTGATCGCCCTGACCGCTTCCCTATATGCATGCTCCCGCAGAGGATCGGAGCCAGCATGAGACCCCAGGTATTTATTAAAAAAGCGGTCGAACTCGGGGACCCCAATGGCCTTTCGGAGGCCGAACCGGGTTCGAGAGGCGGCGTCCGGGTCGAAGAACTGAGCCAACTCGTCGAGCATCCCCGAGTCAAGCATTTGGTCAACTCGTTGGCGCAAGTATTGGGATAAGACAGGGAAGGCTATGTCGACCCAGAGGAAGCAACAGTTGTAGCGGAGGTGAGAGGATATAAGGGCTTGGCTATGGAAGACGTTGAAGCGAGGGTCGAAGTTTTGGACGAGGAGCGCGTGGACGAAGGAGTTGGAGCCGCCCACGAGGAGGGGGAGGTTTCCCCGGGCGCTGATGTCGGCGATGGTGTCTGCGCCGCGGCAGCGGAAGTCGGCGGGGGAGAAGTCCCCGTGGGAGGGGTCGACGTCGCCGAGGAGGTGGTGGGGGACGCCGCGGCGGTGGGAGTGGGGGATCTTGTTGGTGGTTATGTCGAGGCCGCGGTAGACTTGCATTTTGTCTGAGTTTATGATTTCCGAGAAGGGGAAGAGGGTGGCGAGGTCGATGGAGAGGCGGGACTTGCCGGAGCCTGTCGCCCCCATTATGACGACCACCTTGTCCTTCCGGCGGTGGAAGGCCGCGTCCATGCGGGTCCACCGCTTTATGGGGTAGTGGTACCGCTGGGGCTGGGGTTGCAGGATCCACAGTCTCATGGGAAGGAAAGAGAAAGTGTCTGTTGCCTTTTGGTTTATGATAGAAACGGCATTGCCAACATGCCCAATGCCCAATGCCCAATGCCCAATGCCTATCAATTTTAATCTCACACTGTTCCTGCTTAATGCTCTTCTTGCATTGTCTTTCAATGGTTTCTCCGCTCTTTCTCACTACTCGCCACTCTCTCTTTTGAGTTTTGAGTGAGATGAGGCCTGAGGGACACATATCCCACCACTTATTTAAACCATAGTTTTCATGCCTCATTAAACCGCTTATGCGCATTAAACCGCTTACCAAACTAATTCAATAAATCAAAGCTTCAATTTCTTACTTCATTACTTAATTCAACTCTATAAATTTTAATTCATTTCTAAATTCTAAATTTCATCTTATTTAAAATTAATCTTATTTTTATTTTCTATAGATTTATAGGATTCGAATTAATCCCAACCCCCTTAAATGTGATTAACAAGTTATATATGAAATATAGAGTTGAATTAATCTCATAAACTCCTTATTTTTACTTTAGTCAACCCAATAGGTGACTATAGGTCGATTTTAATTTGGCCCGTTTTAAATTGGTTAATTTATTACTTATCTTCTTTTATTTTATTTTTGGCAAATTCATGTTGAAAAATGTTTAAGAAAGTATAACATTTAAGAAAAAGATATATTTTTTTCTTATAATAAAAAATAGAGAATATAAATTATTTGATTAAATTATAAGTGTTATATATATATAT